TGAAGTCAGGTGCCCAGATTAGGATGCAAAAGATGGGAATCCCAAGCACAGTGTCAAGCCAGGTCCCTGATAATCTGCATGTTTCGTTTCACCTGATACGGACTTTTGGCAACAAAACTGATTTCAGGAATCCCAGCCCAAGTCACGTGTCCCTGCCCCAACTCACTGTCTCTGCTGGTACATTTCAGTGATCAGATTTGAACAGTTTTGCAATTCTTTCTGTAATAGATGGCATTTAAGCCACTTCTGTCTCTCTGCTTCATACTGGCTTTGCCTTTATGGTAAACTGGATGTGTGGTTTGATCTGGGTCAAAACAGCTTTTTTTTGCCCTGCGTTATGTTTTAGCCTGGATCATTTTCTCTGGTGTGTGCAGCTGCACAAACAGCAGTGTTGCCCTCTCAGTTGCACTGGCACATGGGTGATTGTGAGCAGCAGAGGAAGGGAGGATGAAAAAGGGGGTCTGTTGAAGCTGGTCTGCTGTCCATGAAAATCCTCATCAACCCCCAAATGGAAAAATGATAATCCACAGTCTGCTGTTATAGGTGAAGGAAGAGATGAAGAGTGAAGGAGTTGTGAGGAAAGGCTAGCAGAAATTAAACGCTATTAAATTACGTTTTGGTAAAAACCTTGCTGTTGATAGTACTGGAAGAAAGAACATACAGCAACAAACAGCACCAGTTTGCACTAACATCACATCTTGCAAGGGCAACGGCCTGGAAGTAGCAGTATGGCAGGGTGACAACACTGGTGTGATTTTATCTTTAATAATCAATTCAATCTTGGGAATGACAGGCTCTCCTCTATATCAGTGCTGATTTCTTGGTTTAATCACTCTCTATCGAGTAATGACATGTACACAGATACTGTTTTTCTGAAAGCAGTTTGTGCACTTTTGCAGTAGCACTTCTTGTGCTTTAAGCCAAGGAGATAATCCTGTTTATGGTGTGGGTGCTTGGCAGCCTCAACAAGCACGTGTGTTTGTGCTTGCCTCAGAAGAAGCATATGGCTGTGGTAGCTCTGAATGTGTGAGATTTCAGAAATGCACATTGTCTCTGGCAGGGCTGGGGAGATTGGTTGTTTCTGAGAGAAACACCAAAGCTACTTAACTGTCAGCAGATATTCATACCATTTGGCCCTGTAGCACCTTCTCACGTTCAGTGTAAGTTTATATTGAATATTTCATGCTATCATTTTCTCAAGAAGCTAAAACTGAGTTTGGAATGATTTTTCTGAAGCTGCTGTAATTCCTTCAGCATTAGTACTAATACATAGTTGCATATCTGTAACAGTCAGTTTTTGTCTAAATCCATACTGTCTATCATGTATCTGTCACCTGTTCTCCACCTAAATGTACTTAGTTGTGTAACATTCACAAACTTACATAAGGGAAATAAGAGGAGGAACAGCTTTTATTGCTGATCCTAAATCTTTTGTGTTTTTGAAGCTCTGTGTTTTGTAAATACTTCTATCACTATAGCTGTTCAGGTAGCAGAGGTGCTGTGGAACCCAGTGGCTCTTCATGTGGCTGCATCAATATTCACTGTCTAGGTGAGACTATTCATCCTCCTTTCATTAAGACTGTTTTACTGATGGCCTGCAAATAGTTGCATCAGCATAGATGAGGGTGCCGCGTTGTAGTTTGTGAGTGGGAATAAACAAACTGGTTCAGGAATATCCCAGGCCATTATAGAGAATTCTCAGACAATCAAGTAAGAGAAGTGAAAGTACTTATTTTTATTAAGTGTCTAAGATACATGGTTTCTGCTGGCAGATGTTTGACCAAGGTGTTTAAGGTACAAATAGGTAGCTCACATGCTTTTTTCAGAAGAGTGGTATCAGCTGGAGCAAAAATTCAGCTTAAAATTCCTTGAAGATTTAGTTACTTGTGCAATATGCCTCTATTTTTCAGCCCATTTGAATTCAGCTAAGCACTTTTCCATATGGATTAACACTCTGAAGCATTATTACATACGGTGGATGCTTGTGCCCATCAGTGAGAGTGTTTCCGTAGTGAAGTGCTGAATAATCAACAGTTTTGTTGAAAGCCTAAAGCTAAACTTGCCCTTAAGGACCAGGTAAGAAAAAGTAAGAAATGTTCCCACGAGTATCTCATAAACATTCAGGCTTCTGCTATGGCATATATGTAGAAAGTCTCTTGAATTGCTAGAATTTCTTTTCTGATAAATACTATTACTGTATTTCCAAGCAAAATGATGTTTTATTTCTCATGTGAAGTACTAGGTGACTTTTCTTTGGGAAATACTTCTTTAGGTTAAATTAAAATGACGTTTCCTAGCATTATTACCTGATAACTGAAACACAGGAAACTTTTTGGCTTGAAATGCTGTTACACTGTGATTCTAAATAGATGATCCCTTAAAAATCCCATGAAATTCTAGGAAACGGGTGCGTCGTGAGCACAGTGTAGTGTACTCCTTTCCCTGCTCCTGAAACTTCAGGAGGGAAGCACATCTGAGAGTATGCACGTGCATGGGCTGTGTTAGTGTGTGTAGAGCATCTGTGCCTCCCTGCTGGTTTCAGTCTGAACTGGGCTCAGTCAGAACTCGTCTGCCTGTGTTGTGAGGTTAAATAGGCTCAGACTCTCTTCTGGCACCAAGTGCGTTGCCTCACCAGTTTGTTTGCACATGCCTTGCAAAAACAAGTCACAGTCTCAGAAAACCACTTCTGTTTGCCATTCACATTCCTGCAACTGCTTCCCCACTGGTGATTCTTCTGAGGTTACATTTGCAAAGGTTGAGATGTGGGTGCTGGCCTGAAAAGTGTCTGAAACTCTGGTTAAAAAAAACAAGCATAAATCTGTAGGGATACAGTTTGACTGTCCAGCTCAGGCATGCAAGGTGTTGAGCACATCACAGGAGGAGCCGAATGCCACCGCTGTCATTAAAGCAGTCTGCTCTGGTGTTAACCAGAGCCCTGCTGGGTTTCGTGTGGAAGCTGCAGGTATGGTTGTTGGCAGGGGGCTGAGGCCGTAGTAATTATGCTGCTGTCAAATTAGTGTGAAATATTTTGACACAAATGCAAGTTGAATCTAAACGAACACCTCCATCTCAATGAATTTACTGTGGTTTAAGCAGAAAGCTGTTAGTTTTGATGTTGGCCTAGTGACAACGAGGAGTGGAATTCCTTTTGCTCTTGCTGTTGCTGTTAGTCCTTGGCTGCAAGCAAACAGCACCCAAAAGACAAGTTAACCAACACATTTTGCATTTCTTCCATTGTGTTCAAAACTGCCATGTGTATGAATGTGCTTAATAATCAACCCGGAAGAAGTTTCATTTTGTCGTAACCATCCAGGTCACTGAGGTATTCTATTCAGCATAATGTTGTCAGGAATTATAGCCAGGATATTTGCAATGTGTTATCTCCAGTCCTCATTAGATTTTTTTTAACTGCTTGGATTCCTGTAAAAAGCCTTAAGTCAGGAACATGACATCATTCTACCCAATTAAGGTGCAATAATCATATAGTCAGCATGTTCAGAAAGTGTCTTGTGGAACATCTTTAAACCTCACTTGGAAATTTCATATCTGTGGGGGGAACTTCATTTGAGCCTTGTAGTTTTTGTCTGCCTTACATTTTAGCTACTTGAAAGTCTGGCGAGCTCCTTTGCTTGTGATGTCTCTGTTACTGGAGTTCTCTGTTAATGTAAAGGCAGAATACTTTAAACTTTCATTTTTCTAACATTCAGTCATAAATACAAAAAAGGTCAGTATGACACAAACCCTTCAACTGATGTATCTTTACAGAAAAAACATTACTTCTAGACAGGCATTGCAAAAATGTGATTAACTGTGGAACTTCCTATGAATGCACCAGATAGAGTTTTTTAATCACAAACCAATTTCTTGCCTGTGATCGAATAAAATGAGGTACTTCTATTTTGTGTTCTGGTGCTTTTTGTATAGATTGAGATTACGAAGTCTTCTTCCCCAAGTGGTATCTCTTTAGACTTTGTTCAACACTTCTCCCACATGTGTTGTTAATTAAACATGCTAGAGTACAAATTACTGATGGGATGTTCCCTGGAGTATTGCACACATCTCTGGCCATCTGTGGTCAGCACTGAAGTTGCTGAACTGATGGTACAATCCTTCCTCCACCATCCTGTTCCTATTGAAAGAAGTTGTTTAAAATAGGCTATAGGGGTCACAATTGCTGTCTCCAAGGTCATTCAAAACAGAAGGAAAGAGAAAGAGAAAAGAGTTGTTTACTCTAAATACGCAGAAATGGTGACACAAAAAGTAAATGCCTGATCTGACCGCAAAAATCTGTCTGCTGGAATTCTGTGAAAGGATTTCTAACAGCCTGAGTGTGAGAGTCTGCATTTGCCTTCAAACAGAAGCCGTAAAGGCAGAACATGTGTTCACTTTGAGCTGAATAACATGATGCAGATACTCATGGAGCCTGGGGTTGAACTTAGTGACTTGTGATTTCGAAGTGTAATAAATATGTTAGGAAGGATAGGAGGTGAGAATAAAAAAAAAATACAATAAAAGAAGCAGTGATGGGTCAGGAATTTTCTGCTACAATTCCTTGCTTCTCAGAGGAACCTTCCCTGACTGCCTGCTACCTTGCCTTGTCCACTTGTTCTATAGGTTATCTTTATTGTGAAATAAAATTTGTTTGTCTAGTGATCCCTGTTAATCCAGTGGAGCTTTCTTCCTTGTATCTGCTCTTGATTCTTTAAAACTATATTTTAGTAGTAATTTTCTTCCCCCACTGTAGGCAAGGATGAAAGCTTGTGGTACCACCTTTGTAATGCACAAAATGTGCAGCTCCTAAATGATGCAACAGCTGAATTCATGTACCTGTAGCTGAATATCATATCCATCACCAGTACCCTTTCCTTGGTTTCATGCTTTAGCAAGCCTGTTTAACTAGGCTGAATCTAAATGAGAGATTCAGATTTCTCACTCAGCTAACAAGATCCTAGTTTCGCTTGGCTAATGTTCATCCTTATGTTGTTTCCTTGTCTCTGCAGCTTCCTATTGTTGAAAAAATAAGGATCATTGCTCAGAAGGTGTATGGAGCTCAGGATATAGAGTTGTCTCCTGCTGCGCAGTCACAAGTTGAGCGTTACACCCAACAGGTAAGAACACCAGTGAATTATGCAGGCAGGTACCTGCTGGGTGAGAGTCTTAGGAAACCTCGGGGTGTAAAGTGTTCTCAGAATGGAGTGTTTAGCCAAGCTTTGCTAAAAGGCATGAATTTACCCATGGTGCTAAACTGTAGAGGTCAGAATGTATTGGTTTAGATTAGATTAGATTAGACAGAACAGAGTGGTTTTAACCTTGAAAGCTATCTCCCGTAAGATAAGTATGGTGTTTGGAATCCTTCTGAGAATGTTGATGAAACTCTGCGCTTCCTGTCCGGTGTGGTAATTTTGGGTTTACTGCCTTAAATGTGACAACTGCACATCTGCAAAAGTAACAGCTAGTGAATGTGCCTGATTTTAGCATACGAGTGTTCATTTGTACCTGAAAAAAATTAGTTTGCAAACACAAAAAGGCTTGTGCACAGCTATGCATGTTAATAACAAAGGTCCCAATACCGGTAAAATCTTTTGTTTTCCCTCTGTTCATATTATTTTCAAGGGGTTATAAATGCTAGGAGGTGAAATAGATCACCGTTCCGAAAGCATGTGGGAGTGGACTTTGTTACAGTTTGAAAACAGTTTTGAAACCGTGTGGGGAGGTGAATGTATTTTCTGTAATGGAACGGCTTCTGCACGTAAACATGGCTGGAGCCTTTCTGTCAGAAAATAGAAACTGTGGACGATGTGTCATGGAAAAAATCCCTGAGTGTACTTCAGCAGCCTGGTCAGACAGGCAGAAGTATAGCTGTCTGCTGTAATGCAAATCTCCTGAGAATTAACTTGGTTCTCTAGATGGATGAGAAGCTTACTTAGTATACTTGAAGCAAAATAATCCATGTCTTTATCTTTTCCTGCTGCAATTCTCTAATCCAATTTTTATTCTAAACGTTAGTAGTATTAGGAGATATTTTCACAATGTCGTTAAAGGATTGTCGTCAACGCTGGGCTGCAGAGGCAATTCCCTGTAGTGCTGCCTCTCCTCCTGGCCTTGTGAATTGCATCCGTTTGTCAAGGAGTTGAACAGAAGAGTGGAAGGTGCCTGACTCAAGGTTAATTGATAACCTGGGAGACAAATAGTGTGGGGGAAGCTGCTGAGGGCCTTTCCCTGATTTTCTCGCACTTTTTGAGTAACTACTGCACTGTCATTAGTGAAGTCAGTGCCATCATTTCATGCAGGTTTTGCCTTGTTTAAAAACAAAGCAAAGCATCATGAGAAGAAAACATTAGTACCCTTAGAGAGTTTTGGTCTGTGAGTCCTGGTCTCAAGTAGGTATCTAATCAGGTCATTAGAGCCCAGAAAGAAGCGCCATACTGGAGTTTTATTGAGTTGTTGTAGGTTTCTTGTTCAGTGTGGTACTTTCTGTGCACCCTTTCTGAAAATAGCACGCTCTAGCCATTGTATAGGCAACTGTTTCACTTAGCTCTAGATGGAGAACCCACTCTAGAAGCTGCGTATCACTACAGGCAAGTCTCTGGAGATAGAGGCCTGAGCTGAGAGAGAATAGCGTGTGAAATACAGTATTCTGTCCATTTCTGAAATATTAGCTGTTAAGAAACTGAGGTTAAGTATTGCTATATGGCTTTTAGGATTTCTAGAAGACACTGATAACAAAGTGAAAACATATTCTGTCTTTACTATAACCTTAAAAAAATTCTTTTATTTTCTTTCCCTTTTGTGTTAGGGATTTGGAAATCTTCCCATTTGTATGGCAAAAACTCACCTATCCCTCTCCCATCAGCCTGAGAAGAAGGGTGTTCCCACTGGTTTCATTTTGCCAATTAGTGATGTGCGAGCCAGTATTGGAGCTGGATTCATCTACCCTTTGGTAGGAACGGTGAGTGCAGAGTGTTCATCTCAATCACTCCCCTTCGTTTGACCCAGCTTGACAGGGAAGTGCATTTCCTGTTTGCCTCTAAAAATAGCGTGTAGAACCAGATGAGTTCTTGGGGTTTTGTACTAATTTTTTTCCTCACACTTTTTGTAGTTCTACTTTGATAGGAAAAAAGAATTAGGAAAATGCAGTATCATATAAGAGCTTTGACTACAGGGTCTGAGAGAATGACTCTTGCCATTGGTTCTGTTTCTGATGTTTTTCAGTTAGTCTAGGACACTTAGGCACCCTAATGTTGCAGAAAAATGAATTTACATGTCCGTTGCCTTTCCTTATTCAAATTGCAGCCTGTGAATAATTGTAGTTACATTATTATGTTCTAAATGTTAAATCTTTTGTCCATCATTGCAAAGCATTCTGTAATGTATTTAGATGAAAGTAATTGTGTTAGGAATAAGTGTACGGTTAAAATGATTGCTTTTCAGCTGATGAGCCTGATCTGTTCCCAGTCTCTGTGAACATCTCTGCTGGTTCTGTATAACTAAGTTATGGTGAGAAGGGGTAGATTGCCAGCTGCAGATGTAGTAGCACATTCTTTCACCTTTTTACAGATTTAAACAGTGAGGTGCTAAAAAGAGGCAATTGTCATCCTTGCTTCCTACCTGTCCTTAAAAGTACAGACTCAGATTAGGAAGTTCCGGCCGTTTTCTTCTCTGACGTGCCTTATCAAAGTAGCTGAGAAGCTCGTTAGCTCATGCCTTTTGCCAACCACACGCATCTTATTCCAGACAGTAGTTGAACTGCATCTGACATCTCATAGCATGAATTATTACTTATATGTAGCTGATTCATGGGATGATGCTAGAGAAGGGATGCAAAAGCCATTGCATTTCCGGAAAGAGTACCCTCCCAATGTTATCTCATCTTCCCAGAGCACAGCCTGATTTCCTTGTGTAGCAGAACACTTAGGAAAGGTTGAAAGTTTCTAATCTATTGTTTTGAATTCCCTCTGAAACAATCAAGTGTTTGAAACAAGGAAGGAAGTACTTTCTGACCAGGAGAGTTCCTGGAGTTCAGGAAACTGTGTCACTTTAAGTCACTGGACTTGGGGATATGCTTTCCTTCTGCATGGCTGCATTATGCACATCCACCAGAAGTGGAGCATAGCTGTGTATTTCAGCTATGTAAAACCAAATTCCAATTACTGGTGACTGAATAGAATTTGTCAGAAGTTCTGGTATCTCCTTCATGGCCTCAATTCAAGTTTGCACTGGAAATTGTGTGTCATAAAGTTGTGGGAAGGAGTGAATGTGAAGAATAGGCAGTAACTACTTCAAATCCATGAGGGAGCTATTCTGTAGGATGTCAGAGTGAAGTGTTCTTGGGTTGAGCTTTCTGAATGAGTCACACTCTACACACTTCAACACATACTAGCTGCAGTTCAGCCTCATAAATCCATAGGAACTGTCCATAGGAGCAGTATAGACCAAACAAATTCAAGGATTACCTCTCATTTTCAGTTTCCACCTAGAACCAAAAAATACAGTTCTTACGAAGGACATTTTATATATGGGTTTCCTTACTGGGGGAGATTGTGAAAAATACGTCCAAGTTAGTTACTCTGACTTTGGTGAGAGGTAGGATAGCCATGGAACTTTTCCCATATCTGGAAGTGGATCAGCAGAATCACAGAATCACAGAATGTTCGAAGTTGGAAGGGACCTCTGTGGGTCATCTAGTCCAACCCCCCTGCCGAAGCAGGGTCACCTACAGCAGGCTGCACAGGACCTTGTCCAGGCGGGTCTTGAATATCTCCAGAGAAGGAGACTCCACAACCTCCCTGGGCAGCCTGTTCCAGTGCTCTGTCACCCTCAGAGTGAAAAGAAGACCAGTATACTCTTAGAGTTAATGTTTTCCAAGAGAGTTTGTAGTGCAGGGTACTGTATAAAAACAAGATCCCTAAAAGCTAAAAATCTGAATAGACAGGCATCGATCATTGGTTGTTTGAAAAATATTGCTAATGCTCAGGAATGTGGGACAGAACACTCCTTGGAACTATAACAATTGCTACAAATCAAAATGCATGAATGAGTATGAATGTATTCCTGACATCCTTACCATACAATTCTTTCTCTAGAACTAAATTTATGGCA